CTGGGACACACCGGCTACATTTCAAATGCCCAACAGCCACACATAGCTTGTGGCTACAGCACGAGCGCAGATTACAGAACATTTCCATCCTTGTAGGAAGTGCCACTGGATAACACTGACCTGGAACATAAAACTCAAACTCCTCAAACCAGCACCCCAGGCTAGCTGTCTTTTAGAGCCAGCCCACACTTCCAAAGTTGCCTGCTACTTTCCCCAAACACTGACACCTAGCTTTGCTCAGGCCAGCCTGTCTTGTACCTCCAGCAATCATGCTCACCCCGGTTCTGTGCTTGTGATCTTCGGACTTCCCAGCATCGAGACAAATGAGAAGGTAGATCTGAAGGCACAGTCACTAAGAAAGTGGGATTTTCTGTCATGGCAAAAAGCAATGAGGCATCTATGAAATTTTTATCCCAGCAAAATGCTCTGCTATCTAACAAGCCTGGGAAAGGGCCCTTTTCCCAGAAGACTGTAATGAGTCTCGAGCTCGTCAAGACTTGCAAGATGATGAAATGAAATATCACTTGTCTTGGCACTTACTCAATACCGATTGGGGTCATTATTTAATTTTTTCACATATTTTTCTCCCAGATAAATTGTGAGGTCATGGGAAGCACAGACAAGCTGCTACATGCATTTCTTCTGCATCTTCCTCTTTGCTATCTCACTTTTCTACACCAAAAAGGGGGGGGGGGAGAGAGAGGGGGGGTCAAAGGTTGCAAAGTGGCTACTACCTGTGGGCCAGATATGGTTCATAGGTGTGTTGTTTTGTCCACAGTGTATTTTTAAAAACTTCTGAGTTAGTTGCTGATATTTAAAAATTGGATTTCATATCAAAATTCTTATTTCTGGTTCCATAAAAACAATCAGAATATCTAGCAACCCTGGGTGAGCCTTCCTGCGTAGCTCTGTCGTTTGGAACTGAGTGTCAGCGTCCCCCTTAAAGGAGGCGTGTATCTCCTGGTCACCATGACTCCCTGGTTATTTCGCTTTTTTTTACCTGCCCAGTCCCGGAAGGCTTCTGCATTTATAACTCTCATGGAAGACACTCAATAAATTAACTGAGAATGGAAATACTACACTGTGTAAATACAGTCAGGCAGCCTTTAATGCCTGTCCTAATGGGCAGCATGTTTGTTTTAAGCAGCTAAAAATCAAACTTCCTATTTTAGCCATTAGCTGAAGACATTAACCTCAAGGACCAATTTTAGCTATTTCTTCCCAGGCTTGCCAAGAACTGATAATGGATTAGGGAAATGGTCAACTGCAAGAACAAAAAGCAGTCAGCCTAAACAATCACATGAGAATAATTGAGACGGAGAGAGTATAAAATTGTTCCATGAACACTGAGTGCTCCCTAAAAGCACGTGGAAATCATAGCACTCATGATGATGAGTGTTTCTGGCAGCTGCCCAGTAAATCTGGGGTTTAATACAGAAAGCCCAAGCCTGCTGCTTAACTCTAACTGATATTGGTTTCTCCTCTTTTGAACAAACCTCATTATAGTCCACAGTGTTCTAAAATTGCATTCATGTCTTGCCTCCCCCACCCAACTGTAAGTTGCTTATAAACTCCTTTGTTATCTTTCTCATTCCTAGGGCAGTAGATCAGTGGATCCCTAACCTGGGATGCATGGATTGGCTTCAGTTACAGGCAAAAATGCAATGAGTCATTAAAGCTTCTTAAACAGGTGCATACCCTGCAGTCAGGGCCTCAGGACTGGGAAAGAAATTTAAGTTATTTGTAAAGGGACATAGTTCATGAAATGCATGATGGCCTTGATGACATTTATCTAGTCTGTTTGCTATCATTTCCAGTTTGCCATTTGTGCATTTGCAAAGCACAGTTTTCATGCTTTCATTAAAGTCTGGGTGAAAATGTTAAGCTACACAGGGCAACACATGCGTCGTGTGTAGACACTAAGTGAATAGGAAGAAAAACTGTCAGTCTTTGAGACCATTAGTCCAATCAGGTATAAGCACACTACACACAATATTTTTTTTTTTTTTTTGAGACAGAGTCTCGCTTGTTGCCCAGGCTAGAGTGAGTGCCATGGCGTCAGCCTAGCTCACAGCAACCTCAAACTCCTGGGCTCAAGTGATCCTCCTGCCTCAGCCTCCCAAGTAGCTGGGACTACAGGCATGCACCACCATGCCCGGCTAACTTTATATATATATTAGTTGGCCAATTAATTTCTTTCTATTTATAGTAGAGACGGGGTCTGGCTCTTGCTCAGGCTGGTTTCGAACTCCTGACCTTGAGCAATCCGCCCACCTCAGCCTCCCAGAGTGCTAGGATTACAGGCATGAGCCACCGCGCCCGGCTTACACACAATATTTAGTCAATACTATTCCACCTGTTCTGAAAGGATACTGCAGATTCTTCCGGATGCTTTCAAATCAAGATTCATTAAATTTGAACATTCTCCTTCTCTATGAATAACTTAATGATTCTTTCAGAATAGGAAATGTGGTTAGTTTGACATAAATTACATCCTTATAAATTTTTCCAGGTTTGCAAAAAGACGTTTCTTTTCTATGTGTACAAGCCATATATTTAATTATAATGCTCAAATTATGCCAGGGAACAATGTCTCACTTATATTCTGGTTTCTAGAATGTACCTTTTCCTCATTTTTGATAATAGGACCATTAATTGTTTATTTCTTGCTTTTTGGCAATTTTCTCATTCTCAAACATGTTCAAAGCTCACATTTAGTGGTTTCCCTAGCTTCAAGTTCTTTAATCTGGGAAATGGTTTATCTGGGCCTAGAGATAAACACTTTTGAAATAGCAAATGTGACTCTTACTATCAGCTTTCCTAACTCTGCCATTAACACCTTCTCCTGTTTGAAGATCAGTCTGCTTAATGGAGAAGAATTAACTTGAATAATTCAGTTGAGCTTTTATTTGTTAGTAAAGTAATACTTTCTCTAAGAGATCCCTTCTTCTTGCTGTACATATCAACACCATGTTTATTGAGGGCTAAAGTTCTAGGTGCTGTGCCGGGGGTTTTTTGTTGCTTTTTTAGAGAGGTTGCATACCTCTCCCTCTATCGCTTATATTCCTTTGAAAATCAGAGATTATTAAAAAGACACCTATACTAACTCACATTAAAAAAATTTATCTGTGTTTTTTTTTTTTCTGGTCCTTTAAGTTTCCTGCATCTTCTCTTATTTATCAGCATTATTTGCTACCACGGAATCTGATTTCTCGATTTTATAACTTTCCCAACATTGCTATGTTAAATATCCTGTTAGAGATATTAATCATAGACTCATACCGATAATATTATTGACAACTCACTTTACTAAATTCTTGGGCAGGGCACACTTAGCAAACTCCAAGATGTCATGGTCACATTTTTTCCTATAACTCTTGCATCATGAAGGAGCTCCTGTAGGTCAGAATTTAGTCAAAAGCTGCAGTGCATATTGATGCTGATTGAGAATGCTGCCTGAAACTGATCTGCGGTAATAACAGACTGGCAAGTGAATCATCTCTATGTTGGTCTTGTGCTCAACTGAATTTACACAGAGTCTTGGGTAAATGAGTTGGGATTTGGTTTTCTATCTGTGTCTAAAATAATAATAATAATAATAATAATAGCATATTGTTGCCTTTGGCCAGATGCACAGATTTTATAAGATGTAAGGTGTCACTTCTGAGCTCTTGAATCTTCACCCTACTTTTCCCCAACTACACCATCACCTTGGATGACAACCTCCCTGTTTATATTTCAAGGTTTGGATGAGTTAGAAAGTCAGATAAAAAAGATATACCAGGAAAAAGGGCATATTCTCCTGCAAGAAAAGGGAACATCATGTCAGTTCCATGGCCTGAATATGTGGGTCAGACCAGTTCATGTACTTTATGACTGAATTGCTTGCCAGCTAGCTATTAAAGGAAAAGGAAAAAGGAAGAGTTAAAATATAATAAAGCTGCAAGACACAAACCTCCTACTCCCAAGAGGGCAGAAGAACAACTTTTAAAAGCTAAAATATATAGTCAATTTATAATCAGGAGTAGCAGAGCTTGGGAATATATTTCATCCAGAAATGTTTCTGAACATTAGCTTGGTTGCTCGGAGCTAAGAATTTATCAAAGTCAAAGGATGGAAGGCAAGATACATTGAGAAATCTGGAAAAGAGATTTTCGGGAAATGGGCGAAAGACATGAAATCTGAGAGGCTTACAAAAGGGGGAGAGATGAAGAGCATTTCACATTTAAAACTTTTTAAAATACAAAGGCAAAATCTTTAAAATTTTGGTGGACAGTAGTGAATCAAGTAAAGGATTCATATACTATACAAAGAACACTGCACACCTTTAAGAGCCTTCTTTTTAGGAATAATAAGGGTCTTCAAATAACTACCTGCCCTCAATATTCCATACTGAAGTTACTGTGATAGGTGGACAAATGGCCCCAAAGATGCCCATGCCCTAATCCTTGGGACCTGTGAATATATTATGTTATCCAGCGACAAGGATAGGTTGTAGAGGAAATTAAGATTGCTAATATATTAATAAAAGAAATTGTCCTGAATTACCCAGGAGGGCTCAATGTAATCACACAGTCCCTTTAAAGTGTCAGGGTGATACAGTCTGAGAAAGACTCAACCAGCCACGCTGGTTTTTAGGGTAGAAGGAAGCCATGATACTGGGTTTGCAAGTAGTCTCCGGAAACTGAATAAGACAAGGAAATGGACTCTCCCCTAGAACCTCCAAAAAAGAATGCATCTCCGTAGATACTTGGATCTTGGCCTAGCGGGACCCATGCCAGACTTCTGACCTACAGAACTACACCATGGTGCATTTGTCATGTGGGTTGTTTACAGCACTAAGTTTGTAGTAATCAGTTACAGCAGCAACAGGAAAAACCAAGACAGTAACTTATAACTGCTTTGGAAAAAGAAAAGGCTGATGACAATATTGACAAGCCGAATAATAAAATAGTGTTCCTCTTTCTGAGTTGAAGAAAGAAAAGAATACACTCCTGTACCTTTTTATAGGTTTTTTCTTCGTTTTGTTTCCCAGGTGCTGCATCTCCATTTTCAGCAGCAGACGACATCTACAAAAGAAAAACATTCCCATTTGAATTTAGACTCCACTCTGAAATACAATACGTTAATAATATTGTTAACGGAAGGATCTATTTTGGTTAACTATGTTTTTGTTGTTATTACTGTTGTTTCTAAGAAAAGAAGAAAGAAGTTCTCAGAATACTAAAAAAAAAAAATCTGTGTTCCCAATCTTTCCAAAGTAAATCTTTACTTGTAAATTATTTTGGCAGTAGTCTTTACTTCATATCCTCTGAGAAAGATGCTGTGGAAGTCCAAGCCTATTTCATGTGTATAAGTTTCTTTCTGCAAAGCCTTTTCAAAATTTTCCCTTCTGGTTATAAATGCTTACTATAAAGATATCTGGAAAGTAACAAAAAATATTAATCATAACAAAACAATTACTCTCAAATCTACTGCCTGTGGGCAACTCCAATATTCATGTATTGACGTAAATGTCCAAATATTCAAATTTGGCATAATTTGTTCCTGCCTTTTGTTTTATATATTTTCATATGAAAAATATTATGATACTATCTTACCAGTATTTTTTACTGAACATTTATGCAATAAACATTTTCCCATTTGATTACAAAAATCTCATTGCAAGACTAATAATTTTTTTTGGTTGCAAGATATACCTCTGTGTGCTAATATTTTAGTTAATGCTAATATTCAAGAATGGCTGAGGCAGTTCAAGGGTTTTGCTCCTGCAAATAGTACAGCAATCATTATTTTGTACTTCATCTAATTTCAATGCTTTCTTAGACTAGATTCCTGGAATTACTAGGGCATAACAGGGCTTTTAAAAAAATTTAAAGCTATTATTCCATATTGGTAAATTTCTTTCCAGAAGAATATACCACACAACTATCAGCAGTGAGTGGGAGCTTGTTTTATTATACACTTAGCAATGATTATTATCATCTTAAACATCTTTGCTAATCTGACAGGCAAAAGAAAGCATCTCCTGCTTTTCATTTGCATCTTCGAAAATTACTAATGAAAGTTAACATGGTTTTCACATCATTTGTAGTTCTTTGAATTTCTTCTTTTGAGTTTTCCAGTGTTTTGTCCATTTGTCTACTGGGGTCTTAGTGTTTTAGTTACTAATTTTTACCTATTATGATTATTAATATTAATGATTTCCTTATTGACTTTTATGTTTTAAGGTTATTAATCTATTGCTAAGCACATTTTTAATATTTTTCCATGTTGCTGTGTGCCTTTTTGTTTCTTTTATGATATAGAGAAGATTTACATTTTTCCATACTCAAAACTATTGACTATCTTTGTGATTTCTTCCCATGCTTTTAGATAAAATATTTTTTCTCATTGGGAGATATGAGATGTTTGAATATGTGTTTCTCTCTTTTTAATGGTAAGATTTTCACATTTAACCTCTAATCCATCTGAATTTTTAAAGCCAGTTATGTCTGTGGTAATCAGGATAACTGCGTAATTAGGAAACCACAATATTTGAGGGTCTTATCCTACATTGCATGGAGAACATTTAAATACACCAGGGACAGGTAAAACTTCTGACTTTCTTGTGAGCCTTTTAAGCATGCTTTAAATCCTGGGCTTATAAAAAACACAGCATATGGTAAAACTAAGACTTCACCAGCCATTTTTCTCCATTGGAACTAAATCACTGAGTTTACACATACTGCCAAGAGCTTGTTGTTGAGACAAGGAACTGGCAGGTACTGCTTTGGGTACAGCACTGCTGCAGGCAATGTCTTGAGCATTGTCTAACTGAGTCAGGAAGCCTCTAAAAAAAGTTCAAATTGCCCTGATCAAAACAGGATGAAGGCATGGCAAGTTCCAAACAGTTAGAACCAAGATGGTGGAGACACACCACCCCATCGATGAATATTACTCCCTTGTTTAGCCTCTTGCTGAAATAGAAAGGCAACAGTAACCCGGGGGCTGGTCCTCCATCTGCAAGGGGCCAGTTCTCTTCTGTAGGGAGAACCTGCCTCTGCTCTGTCTGTGGAGTACAAACTTTCTATAGTTTCTGAATAAATCTCGCTTTCACTTTATTTTGTTGGCTCACTCCTGAATTCGTTCTTGAGTGAAGCCAAGGACCCACTTGGACTTCAAGTGACTCCCAGCATTGGGAGTCACTTTCCTGCGTCAATGTGATTGAAAACCATCCGAGAATATGAAAGCATGGACCATGGTGAGCTAACTTCACCAGATTTATCACTGCCCACCAATCAAAACACCTTCTTACATAATTTTTCAATTCTATTTGTATCCATTCAATCTGTCCATATAGAATAGAGTCTTGAAGGGCAGATGTTTTACAAAGTACTGTTTCCCACACTGTAACTGCTTAATTCATTTAAGGAATAATTTATTTTTCTGGTCTCTTTATAATAATATCTGGGTGAGTTCTGAATAAAATGCCAGAGGAATTAAAATGCTTGAAAGGCTCTGTAATGTCAGGCTCAGGTTAAAGAACAAACCTTCAACTATTTAACAGAGCCAGCAGAGTGAAGACCTCCCTAAAGAATGCCGTTCTAGTAATTTCACTGCTAAGAATTTGCAGCCTTTAAAACTGAAACACTGCAAGAGCAACCCTGAAGCGTGTTTGACAAAACAATCTTAATGAGAGGTTGACTAATTGGCACGAATGAAGGATGGATGATGAGATGGTCTAAAGATGTTTTTTCTTACATTGTGAATCACTCCTGACTTGACAGTAGGGAAGAGGAGGAGAGAAATGGGTAAACTTTTCTTTTTAAAAATCAATTCCCTTTAAGCAGCACGAAACAGATAATAATGATAAAGGAAGGCCAAAGGTCACACAGACCTATTAGCCAGGGACTTCCCAGTAGCAGAGGCCAATGAGACGGTTGTGGATGTACTAGTAAGCTGCAAAGGACTGTTAGAATGGTTACAGTGGTGCTTACTACTTGTCCTCAGACTTGTTATGCTTCCGTACCATGTAAGGTACATCATTAGTAATTATGGAAGCCAAGGTAAGTATGAGTTAAAAACATTGTTTCCAAAAGCACTACAATCATATATATTTCTATGCATAAAAGGAGAAAAGACATTCTCAGAAGTACTGGTGATTATCTATGGATGATGGGATTATGAATGCTTTAAATTTCCATTTTTATATTTTGCTATATTCTCCAAGTAGTCTGTAGTGAGCACCACTACTTAAAAAATAAGGAAAATACTAACATTATTAAAAAATTTAACCATACACATTAATTAACAGCAGGGACCATACCTTCTGGGTTGGTCTGCCTTTCAGGCATGCTGACGTTCACAAAATTTCCTGTTGCTGTTTGTTTTGATGTTTGTTTTACATTTGATAATGTCAAGGTTAAAGGTTAGAAACTAGATACATGTTTTAGAATATCTGAAAATAAATATACAATAAAAAAGATAAGGGCTCTATACAGAATCAGTGGGAAATAAATAAAAATATAGACTATTTCCTTACCTTTGTAAATGAAATGACAAGTCATCTGTAGTTGGTAGTGATGGGTAGCCTATTCATTGTTGAGATTGTTTTCTTTCCCAGGTTCCTGTTAAAATAGAAATCTCTGGTCATTATTTATTCATATCCCTACCTAATCTCCCCAAATGGATTAGAGATGGCTACAGAGATACATGCGATGTAATCAGTTAAAAATAAAAATAAAGGAAGGAATGTGTGTGAGGGGAAAATAAAGGTTGGGCACAAGATGATTCCAGCAGTAAAGGCTAAGCATAGAACAGAAGCCATGGGGCCTACTATGGCCATTCAATAAACTGTACAGTCTCCAACTTGACTCTGAGATTCCTGTTGCCACAGCAAAAGAAGACACGATCAGTTACCAGATGCCCAGTGTGCAAAAGATAAAAGCAAATCGGTTACTCAAAAGAACCACAGGTATCTGGGGATTGAGGCTGGAGTGGGAATTTCTCCCATAGGTCTTCATAGAGGAGACTCCATGTGACGTGCAGACAGTTTTTCAGTGTCATCCCTGTGATAAATCAACTGGGATTTTCCTAAGGGTTGATTAGATGGCACAACTTCAAAGAACAATTCAACGAAGCTCTTTTGCTGTCATTATGTTTTATATAGAAGAGATACTTGCATATTGTAATCCATTAAAAAATGCAGAGAGGTATAAAGCAAAAATGAGCTAGGTCCCACTCTTTTCTACCCCCTGAGATAAACAGTTTGTTGAATAGCCTTTCAAAATCTTCCCTGTGTTGTGAGTCTACCCCGCCAACCCTCTAATCCCTCGTGAACACTACCACCATGTGAGCACCATAGTGTTAATCAGTCAGTACCAATTTGATGGCGAGTCCATGTGGAGCCTGTTCTTCCGATCTTAGAATAGTAACTGACACAGTATACGGACAAAATAATTATTTACCACTCTGACCCACCAAATTTCCATTTTTTAATACCATTCATTATTTTGTATTTATTAGCATTTGTTCTTATGAAAATTGGTTTTATTGTCCTATCTAAATAAATATTGATGAAAAATATTAGGGAGGCTCAGTATGCTGTCTTAAAAAAGCTAAAGTAAAAAAAAAAAATCTTCCCTATGGTTATTTTACACACACACACACACACCCTGCACACATTATTTTACACACACACACCCCATACACATTTCTGCTACTCATTCTTATCAGTATATTTTAGATATTTTTTTCAAATTTATATATCTAGATCATTTAAAAATAATTGCATAATATTCCACAAGACAGACATACCATTTTTTAACCAACCACTCCCTTGTGGATGAACATTCAGATTATTTCCAAGTTTGACCGCCATAACCGGAACAGGAATAAACAGCCTTATTCAAACATCTTCAATGTTCTAGTACTTTTATTTCTGTGGGAAAGAATCCTACAAGTGGAATTGTAGGGCCAAACTTGATAAGCACATTGAACTAGCTGAATGACTATTGCTACATTTTCTTTCCATAAAAAGGTTGAAACAATCAGTCCACAGTGCAGAGTGCCTGCTTATTGACACGTTTATCAGCACTGGAAGTTCTCCATCTTTAAAACTGCTGGCTAACCTGATGGGCAGATAATGGCATCTCAGTTGTTTTAATTTACCTTCTCTCATTACTAATGGGCTGATCCTTTTCACAGGTGTATTAGTGATTTGCATTTCTAGTTTACCTATTTTTATACTGGGTTTACCTATTTTTATACTGGGTTATTTATCTTTTTCCTTTTATAATCAATTTGTAAGACCTCTTAGTACATTAAACATTACCTCTGTCATATGGGTTGCAAGCTATTGTTCTTCTTTTGGCTTTGTCTATGGTGGTCTCGTCACATAAACATTTAAAAATTTTTACACAGTGAATTTGCCAATTATTCTTCATGGATTATGAATTTACTGTCTTGCAATTCTTTGTTTATGGATTATGGACCATGAAAGACAGCTTCTCCCATATTTTCTTCTCCCATATTTTCCCATATTTAAGACATGTATTCTCCCATATTTTCTTCTAATAGCTTAGGTTCCATTTTTAACATTAGATCTTTACTCCAAATGGAATCTAATCCAAATGGAATCTTTCCCCATATGGACAGCTAATTGTCCCTAAATCATTTAATTTATAATTGAGCTTTTCCTTAGTGGAAAGACATGCCACCTTTAGCATACATTAAGTTTTCTTATATACCTTGATCTATCCATGGATTCTATGCTGTTCCAAAGACTTCCTTATATATTTCTGAGCTCATATATTGTTTTAAATGCAGTAACATGACAGTATGCTTTGAGATCTGCTGGTGCAAGTTCCCCATTGTGACAATCTTTCTTTCAAGTTTGGCAATTTTCTTGCATTTATATTTTTATATGGACTTTAAAATCATGTTGATTGATCTGACAACACCTTCACCCACCAATTTGGGATTCTGAATGGGATTATATTTACTAATTTAAGAAGAATTGTTATCTTTAGAATTACAAGTTTTCTCATTCAAAAAGATAGTATAGCTCTCTGTTTCTTCTGTTAGTTTATGTCTTTTACTACAATCTTATATTTTTTTGTATTTGTCTTATGTCTTATTATATTCACTCCTAGATATTTTCATTTATCACTCCTTGCAATAGGAATTTTTAAATTTGCATTTCTAACCAGTTATTAATTCATATAAAGGAAAACAATTGGGTTTATCTTATTTTCTTTTGTGCAGTCATTTTACCAAATCCTTTTATAGAATTCTAAAAGATTTTAGGTAGAGTCTCAGTCACATTACCTGCAATATTTATACAGCTTGCTTCAGTTTCTTTTCTTATTGCATTCCCTGAACTTCTACAACAATGTTGAGTCATAGCAGTTGAGTAATAGCAGTAGTGTCAGGCATTTATAACATAAACCTTCAGTAGTCACCATATACCACGATGCTTCTGTTGGTTGGTAATGTGGTAGGTTCTTTTTGCTATGCCTAGTTTACTTTTGGTTTTTATTAGGAACGTCTACTGAATTATATCAAATGTGCTTCCGCCTCAGTTGATACAATCATACAATTCTTGTCCTTTATTCTGTTGTATAAATATATAATGTTGAGAGATTTCATAATGCAGAATCATCCTTATACTTCTAGAATAAATCTCAACTTTGATTTGATTTGCTAACCTTTTGAAGAGAATATTTTCATGAGTGATATTGCATGATTGTTGTGGTCCCATTTTTATCAGGTTTTGGTATCAAGGAATTGATACATTTCATAAAATTCGAAGGTTTTCTCTATACACATTCGGTTTTTTTCTGTATTCATCTCTTAGGATTTATAACCTCTCTTTGGATCAAATTTTGGTAATTTATAATTTTTTTAGAAAATCATCAATTTCCATCAGATTTTTTAATTTATTGCCATAAAGTTGAACATAATAGTCCCTAATTAAAATTTTAAAATCCTTTTGGAACCTGGGTAATGTCTTTTTCCTTATTTCTGATGTATGTATTTGCGTGTATATCTATTCTTAACATATGTATTTTTTCATATTTTCCCTTTTTAATTCCTTTGTGGCCATTTACACTAACTAGCCTTTACCATTAATAATACCTTCTTTTCTTTGGCTTTTTAAACATTTTCTTAGATGCAATACTTGGTTTATTTTTCATTCTTTAAAAAAAAATAGTACAAAAAGCATTAAGGCTATAAAATATTCCTGAACATATTAACAATTTCCCCATAAGTTTGTATGTGAAATGTTTTGTTTAATTAATTTCCGGATAATTCATTGCTTTGTATTTGATTTTTAATTTGATCCAGGAATCATCTATAAGAAGGTTTCTTAATTTCAAGCATTTACATTTTACTTACTATTTTCATTGCAATTTCTTGTTTTATCACAGTGGGATCAAAAAATGGGATGAGTAAAATACCTGCCCCTCCTGCCCCAAATTCATTAAGTTTTTTCCTTTGGCTATACACATAGATTTTTTTGGTAACTGTTTCATAGATATAAGAGAAAAATGTACATTCTCTATTTATAGGGTACAAATGGCCTCTATCATTCCCTAATATGATTATAATTTTATCATATTCTCCTGTATTTCTAGTTTTTGTGTGTTTTTTGCCTTACATATTTCATAACTATGTTGGTCAGTAAATGCCTATAATAGTGTCCTCGTGAATTATACTTTTTATCCTTAAAAATATCTTCTTTTTCTTATTTAATAATTTTTGTCTTGCGTTCCATCTTAGTTGATGCTAGCATACCCACTCTGCTTTCCTTTTGTTTGTATCTTCTTGTCATATCCTTGTCATTTATCCTTGTTCTTTATCTTCAACTTCCTTGGGTTGTCATCATTTTGTTTCGCCAGCGTTTCTTATAAATAGCTTAAAATCACATTTTAATTTTCTTTTTGCTAATCTCAAAGCCTTTGTCGTTGGAAAGGGGACTTCAAAAAATTCACATCTATTGTGATAAGATTATATCTGGTTTGCTTTCACTGTATTTATTTACTATGGCTTATGTTTGTCGTTACTGTATTTATACTCATTCCTCCTTTGATGGATTAATCAAGTTGATAATTCTACTTTTTTCTTTTAGTAATTAAAATTTTTTATTATACATATAGTTTGCTCATAGTTATCTTTTTATTTTAAATTCATTTTAAAGTCTCTATTTTCCTATTAAAATACAAAATGACTGTATGCTGTCCCCACGACCCAGATATTTTTCCCTTGGTCTACTGTGGCAGACATGGACACGAGCCTCCCAGGAGGTGGCTACTACATGTAGTGGGTTTAACTTATTATCTTCTGTGCAGTCATTTTACCAAGTCCTTTTATAGAATTCTAAAAGATTTTAGGTAGAGTCTCAGTCTCTTACCTGCAATATTTATACAGCTTACTTCAGTTTCTTTTCTTATTGCATTCCCTGAACTTCTAAAACAACGTTGAGTCATAGCAGTCGAGTAATAGCAGTAGCGCCAGGCATTTATAACATAATCCTTCAGTAGTATTAAAATACCCTCTTCAAAAGGTTAGCAAATCAAATCAAAGTTAAGATTTATTCTAGAAGTATAAAGATGATTTTGCATTA